CATTTATCTTGTATGCTCACCTCACGATCGACATCTACCTTGTTGCACTTTGCCATACGTGTAACCTGCAGGCTTGACTGAGCGCATTAGCGGGAAAAATTCTTTCTTCTAACTTCTTTCTTAATTTTGCTTCTGCATCCGCGGCTTTCGATTTTCCTATGGAAAATGCTACCCATGTTTATCTCCTGAAAGAATTACCGTGCGTGGCACTGCATCGAACCTGCTGCTTTATATTTTTTTCTGAGATTTTCTTCTTTTCTTTGTCTAATTTTTCCGTGGAGCTAAACCGCGCTGTGGTGATGAAGGAAAGACTGCGCTGTCATGCAAAACAATCTTTCTACAAGTCTGCATACGCTCCTATCTTCACCTGCACTTATGAATGCTAGATATTCAGCGAAAGAGTGCAATCCCAGAAACAAGCGGCGATAATATCAGCCAGTATCATCGCTTAGATATATGCTATTCTTTTGACTAGGCGATAATGCTTATAACGTTGGATTTAAGTTTCTTCGAGTGTGAACCTCTTTGATTCTGTCAGTAGGTTTGAGTGACGATAACTTGTTATGAGATCAGTTATGTAGAAAAGAGGTGTGAAAGGGATGCTCTCTATGAAGCCGCGTCGCTGTTAAGCTTCAGGCGAGATCCAGATCACTTGAGAACAGTTAGTACCTTGCTTTACCACGCAGTCAACAGCAGGTACCATTGAACAGTCCTTCTTAGTTCCCGCCTTTGCACCTAAAAGTTTTATCAGGATTGGATTATCGATGAATGTTTTATGGTGGCAGTTAGCTTCAGGTTATAGAGCACACGAATTTTATGAATAATAATTGAACCATGGCTGCTTTGTAAGGAGCGCTGTTTTGAATCATTACTATAAATGTTCTGATTAATTTTTAATGCGTCGTAGTCTCCTTAATGCTCGTTCTTTTTACTAGTACTTTTAATTACTCTTTCATTTTATTATTTATTTCATAAATGTCATTCACTGTCTTCTAATCTTTTGCTGAATGATAATGTAGTTTGCCGTGAATTTAGGCACTGCGCCTTCATAATGTGCACTTCCACCGGCAATTATATGTGCTATGTGTTCCACGTCGAACCGAGTGCCGGAGCCATCGCGAAGACCATCCAAGCGGCCTGTAAACTTCGTTATCAGAAAGTGATCGATGCCCATGGACAGCCGAATTCAGAAAACAGATTAAGAAATCACCAGCTGTTAGGGGAAATGGCGAAGACTCCATCGAGGGGCTTCTAACGGCTGTCGTGAACGGTCAACCGTCACACAATGGAACTCATTGACTCTCTCCCCAACTTCGAAAGGTTCATTACAAAACTTCGTCAGTTATTATAAATTATTGATGTTGAATAGTTGATTATTATTGCTCTTGAAGAAAATTAGCTGTATATTAAATATTTAACGTAGTTCGTGTTTGGCGCATCGAATGCCCACTTGTAAATCAGTCTGTGCGGTTGCATTTTTGCCATCGGCTACTTTTGTGCACGCTTCGCTGCGCAAGCGGTCGTGTTTTGGATTTCAATCGTCGTAAATCGTTTCCCCTTCGATAATAGTGCTACGACGTTGCCTCATGTTCATTTGTTTGTTCATACATCGATGATCTTAACTTCGTTTTTATCTATGCAGAAGTTTTTTGAATTACTGTGCAAATACTGGGAACGTTATTTGTTGTACCGTAATGGCATCGCGCTCTCTTCCGTTTAGAACCGGTATCTATTCAGCTGCTGACTGAAACATTCATCATATTCACACAGTTCTTTGACATGTGTTTTCATACTGCCACGCTAGCAGCTGTCAGAACGAATGAAGGTAGATTCTGATAGCTGACTTTTCAATGTATTTCTCACTTCCCTAGTAGCCTGCGAGGCCCGTAGCTACATAAGCGACGACCGAACTGGTATGGCATTCTGTAGTGACAGTAGCATTATGAGCATGTGGCTAAATTTTATGAAACCCGCCACGGCATTCACACCTTCTTTTCAACATGATTCGAGACCGACAGTGGGAGAGTTCGACCTTCTTACATTTTACACTGTATTGCTCACATTTTCTTGTCTCTGAATCTCAATAGCCCGATTCATCCATGGCCAGCTTTCTATTTGTAGTGCTTATTTTGTACTTGAACCTGTCTTGAAGGCACTTTACGATTCATGTGTGGTTATTTATTTATTTGTCAGCGTCTTTGCGATCCATGGTATGACAGGGAAGTGCGATGTTAACGTCTAATAAGGCGCTTTTCGTTGCGGCATTTCAGTAAAATCGTCAAGTAGACAATAGATGTCAGAGCTTGAATATTGCGTTTACAAAGAAATACTCTTAATAATGAAATAATAATTGCTGTATGAAAGGTCTTGTATATTTGAATTTTTCCGTCTTTGTGGTCTTCGGGTACTTGTTTTGGGCAAATATGAATGTTCCATTATAACCTTGTTTGTCTTTTCTTGCAGCTTTGAAAGTTGATGCGGCGTTAGCATAGAAAGTATGCAAATTCATTATCTGCAGGAGATTAGCAGTCGAAAGACCAACAGTAACAGTAAGGCTTGCAAAGCTGATGGTCAGATGATTCTGAAACACCTGTAACCTGTAAATTTTGAATCTGTTATCTACCAACAGCTTGTCTCTTCTCGGTATGTTACCTAAGCAGCGCATTTCTTTGCCAGATAGCCATTACAGGGACATAAATGTTTTTACTGCGCTTAAACACCAGATTTTTGGGCCGATTATAATCAGTAAAGTAATCGATTACCACTAAATCGTGATGTCACTCCTTCAGTGCAATAGTATTGTAGCGGATGGTCAGGCTCAGTGGCTATCTCAACTTTTGCTTGCTTTTGAACTTCAACAAGTTTGTTCTCGCTTTGACAACGGCTGTCCATAGCGCTTGATACTATCCTCTGATGGATGAGGCAGATGTTAATGTTAATTACTTGTATTCTTACTTAAAATGAAAGCTCCTTCGTATATCAGTGTCCTTGATCTGATACGCGTTTTTGTTGCTGAACATTCTGTGACCCTGCCGATACACAGGTAAGTGTACTTTTCCACGGACACCCATTTACAAAATTTTTATTTGCATTCTTACGGAGGGGTAGTGACAGAGAAAAGTTATTCCACTTATGGATTTAGATGCACAGGTTTGGATGTCAGCAGACCTTTTGCGATTGCAGCTAATTTTTTTCAAAAGTGAATTCTCCCGAACTGCTTCGTTACAACCAGCTGGCAAGCGAATTGCCGCTGCAAAGAACAGGAACAGCATGATGCTTTTAGTGCGACAGGCAAAGTCCCGGACTAACAACTGAACTCTTTGATCCGTGTTCCACTTACTGCTGTTATTTGCTTTGGTTCGTCCCATGAAACCAAGAGCATTGATTTCTCAGTACAGAGAACTTAATGAATTGTATCATCGCATCTTAAAATACATTTTTCTCGGATTTTTGTATCTGAAACAACGGAATCAAGACCCATACTTTTATTTTTTTGCAGAAACATGCAAGGAATAGTTCTCCGCCATGAACATCAGGGATTAGTAAAATAATGCTTTGTGAGAATAGTCCTGCTAGATGCTACCTATCGATACTCAGCTATTTGGCTGATAGCTTGATTTGATGTTTCATGAGCACCGGTAGCAAAGGAAAAGTAAACTGTGTCGTTCAGTCTGGGTTTTGAACCAGTGGCATGCATGTCTGGTTGCAAACATATGCCGACATGGGAAATTAAATCATTGAAAACGCCATATTAATTCAAGTGTTCAGCGGATAACGGATCAGTAAGATGACTAATATCGCGGCAGTTCCATTTATTTTAAAACTTTTAACCCTGCAGAAAATACGCTTGATTGATGAACGCCAAATTCGAACCGCAATGCCATGCCTCATTGATTTAGCGGAGGTAAATCTCAAATTTTTTACTCAAATAAATAGGATGAACGAAAAAATTGCTACATGCCTTCGATACAGCAATAACGTTTGATTGACTATTTTATGTAATTCATGAGAATCATTGCTATGTGTCGATGCCGACGTTCATCTGTCTCATTCGATTCGTCTCACACGCTTTCATAACCCTTTTAAATCATCGCTTGATCTCAGCCGAGATCTTGTAAATCTTTCAGTACCAATCCGTCACTGCCGAAATCGATCGCTGGCCTAGTATTGACCCGAGCTGTAGGCATAGAAGTTGGGACCATTTTTGTTTCTGCCTTCCATTCAATCAGCAAATGCTCATAAATGCTGTGCATGTGTTTCAAACGTGTTGTAAAGAACGTCCTTTTTACCATTTCCCCGACCTAACGCAATTCCATTTGAAAAATGTGCTAAGGTTGACCTACACAGAGCTTTCCTCAGCGAGTAGTCGTAAATCAGCATTTCGCTGAGTCGAAACGTGTCACCGCCGGCTGTTTTAGT